GGAAATCAGCCTTCAACTATTTGCAAAATAGAGAAGGTGGTAGAGCATAAACTTCGGCGGCAAAGCCTACGTATGAAGGGTCTTCTTTTTTTCTTTCTCGAAAGCAGAGCTCACTGGCGTTGGGGTAGACGTTGGTGATGAAAGTATGGAATTTGTTAGAATGGAGGATAGGAAGAATAGCATTGAGGATAGGAATAGATCGGGGTAGAGGGTAGAGGGTAGAGCGAAGAAGGCAGAGGGTAGAGGAAGAGATGTGATGTTGTCCTGTTGTTACGGCAGGGCTCAAGAGAGCTTTTGGTCAATGAAATCAAAGTATCTAATCCCTTCTGTGGTGAATTGAGTACTCATCTCAAGTTTTGAGTTGCCCAAATCGGATGTATTCTTATTCGTCAGGGACAAGCGCAACGACACATGAGAAGCAGATGGATATTGTTTGGAAACAATCAGAATGAGAGGATGGCTTTCCTTTGTAGCATTCTTTCATGACGCACATCAATAAATCAAATGCCAAATGGGCAAAAACGTTTTCATCTTTCGTCAATCAAGGAAATGTATTTGCATGTTGCTTTTAGTACACGTTCAATGTCTGCCAATTCTGCTGCCCTTTGCTGACCAAACCATGGTCATCACATATCTATGGGAACAAAGCAGCAAAGCAGCCCCTCTCTATCACAATACAATCAATACCCGCGTCTTGAGAATTTAGTCTACTCTCAGAACCCTGGGACCACGCTTCTTGGTGGCCTTCTTCTTCTTATGCCCCTTCTCGAATGCTGCAACACTGGCATGGTCACGACCAACGTTGTCAAGATCTTTGACCTTGTAGATACGAATGATCCAGTTTTCACTGGTGAAGGCCTCCTCGACGGTGTTGAGGACGGGGCCTTGGTCGGGAAGTCGAGCACCACGAACACGGTCCATGGCCTGACCAGGCGGGAATAGCGAGTTGTAGTTGTAGTAAGACATCTTATACCTATAGACTAGTGAGCATTTTCACTCTTTGCAAGGGAGATCGTCAGTGGGAAAACTTACATCAAGCTGTTCTTCATCGTCTCGGTGGCTTCCCCATCAACGCGATATTCACCGCGAGGAGTGAAGAAATCTCGCTCCTTGACCTCATCCGGCCAGATACCTTCCGCAATGCGAACCATCCAGAGGAACTTGTTGATGTCATCACCAGAGTAGCCAAGCAGACCCCCGAAGACGACCAGGACGTAGTCAACCTCGTGCTGACGCATGATGGGGTAGCTGACTTCTTCGCGAGAACTCATGGCCTTACCAACAGTGGCAATATGGGTGTTGTTCCATGTGTTGTTGTCCACCAAGGTAGGACGGTCGGCCATTCCACCAATCTGGTAGCCGTAGTCCCACCAAGACATAATCTTAGCATCCTCCTTGGTGTTCTGTCGAAGCCACTGGTAAGCCTCACGGTAGTCATCGATGATGTGCTGGCTACCATCGGGCATCCTGGATGCCAGAACGACGGATGGGGATGAGTAGGCGTTGGAAGTAACCCAGGTACAGTGGAAGACAAAGAGGAGGAGGTAGATAGTCATCGCAACAGCAACAACAGCCTTGGATGTAAGGCTGTAAATGCCAATATAAGGCTTGGTCGCGCTTCTCAAACCACCCTGCTTAGCAGACTTCTTGGAGGTAGCATCGGAAACTTCCTCAAGCTCGTCTGTTTCCGGAACGGGAGATGATGCAACCAAGTAGGTGTCGAGGAGTTGGGACACAGCGATAGCAGCAGCCACACAGACCACGGGAGTGAGCGTCAGCATCAATCGAACCATGACTCCAGCAAAGTAACTGCCGAAGACTGCGTAGACCACGATGAAGACGTGTTGATCCTCAAGCTTCTGGAAGCACATGTAGACTCCTGCCGGGAACATCCAAATAAGCATGTTCAGGTCAAAGAAGAAAGCAGGCCAGGCTGTGGGCTGATGCTCCGATACAGACGCAATAATCGGAATATGGATTTTGGCATAGCCAGTATCCCAAAGAGAGTAGAAACGACCGGACCAGGGCGCGACGTAACCTGCGGTAGTCAAGCCCACAAGGCCCAGAAGAGCGATGCCGAAGACCCCACCTAGACCGAAGTAAAGGAACGTCTGGAACTGGCGACTAGGAATAGCAGAGCGGACATATTCCAGGAAAGCTACAAGCTGAAGGAAACCAAAGATACCTGTGATGTATTAGCCTTTGACTTGAAGTGATTTTTTAATTTATTTTTTGACTGGAGTATCATCACTTACCAAGAGCAGGCATGTGCTCACTGGTGCGGACAGGGGAGAAACCAACAAAGGGAATCTGCATGCTGGCCAAAGTGCCTAGGGCATACCAAGTCGTGTATGCAACGTAGAGCCTACTGCTGTACCTTCCCATACAGATGAGAACAAAGGAGTGCAGAGGGACCAAACAGGTGATGAATGCGTATCCACCCCAAGATGCCACCATGTACCCATAGAACAGGGCACACAGAGCACCCCAGAGGACAGATCCGAGTTTCAGGGCCTTGATCCACAGGTAGAAGGTGAATACAAGGAGGAAGATGGCAATGGCCTCGTTATCGTACGAACCAGCGACGGATCTCGAGATGTAGCCAGGTGCGATACCCATGAAAGCAGCCGCCAACAGACCAGCAGACGAGGACGTGGTCATCTCATTGGTCAGCAGGTAGGCGGCGAAGGCAGTCAAGCCGGAGAAAGCGGGGGCGAGCAGGACACAGATGTTTCGAATGTCGACGGGGACAGTCAGGAATCGGAGAAGGTGGTAGATGACACCGCTGGTGACCATGAGGCCAGGGTACAGAGTTCCACCAGTAACTCGTCCTAGTGGGTGCCATGTTCGGTCGTCAAACCAGTCCCAGAAGTTGTAGAATCCATTGGCCACCAGATATTTCGTCGCTCGGAAGTTGAACCAAGGGTCGACTGGCTTGAGTTAGCATTCAAAGGAGACCTTTCAAGCAGAGAGGCAGGTGTGTTCGTTGAGCATGTTCTTTATACTGACATTCATGGATAATACTCTCGAAACCTGCAACGATATGTGATCAGCACGACAATTCAATGAGATTTTGTCTCTCCATAGTTGTGGATTGGATAGCCACTGGCGATGGCATTCAATTGACATCCCTCGATGTCGATTGTACGAAAGCTGTTTGATGGAGGTGGACTTACGGATGACGGAGAACAGACGACTAGCTATGGCAGCGCCCGCAATGAAGAAGAGAATGAGAACCCGCAGCAGTGTCTTGGTGCTCTTGTTCTTCCCCAGGCCGGCAAGGCCCTCTAGCAGGTTTGCCATTGTCGCTAGATTCACGGAAGTTAGGGAGATGTTGTGCTCATGGAACTCCCAGCCGCGGCGATGGTGTTCTCTTTTTTTGGGCCGGGTGTGGGTTGGTCAACCTGAGCGAGCTTTCGCCAAGCTGGCCTCAATTCACTTTCTATGGGCTCCGCGCGTCACAGCTAATTCGCTACAGCGGGAGAGCAGGGGTCTCCGGCACCAGGGGAAGGTGGGGACATGTGTGAAGGCTCCAGCAACACGGGCCAATCAAACCACAAAAGGCCATTCGTGGCCTCTAGCCTCCTCCAAGTATGCTAATGAGCTGTCTGCCATCAATCAGATCCATCAAGGGGTCGAGCAGCAGCAACCGAGCGACCGTGTGGAGAGTGGCTGGTGAATTTGCAGAGGGTTCCAATGTGAGAGCGCCTACCTGCGCAGAGAAGAATATATCAAACGGATGTATCTTGATGTTTGCAAACCGGACTACACACCCTCATAGCTCCTAGTTTACAATCATCTCGCTTAACAAACAGAACAATCAACCTATCCATGCTGAGGAATATCAAAGCCTCATCTCGGTTTCCTTTCATCATGCCAGCGTAGCATACAATCCAATGCACCCAGAAACGAAAGCCGCACTGCCCCTGTATAGATTATATAGTCCCCAACGATCGATCAAAGCATGTCCGGTTTCCTCCTCTTTCACCCCAATCTCCTCCTCCAATATGTCGTTGGGTCCCAGGTTCAAGCTCTGAACCTCGTCCACTTTCTTCCAAATCTTCCTGTTGATTGGCATAATTACTGCATATGTCCACGGGAGAATGCTGAAAGCAATGACCGCGGCGATGGAGTAGATGCGCGCCTTGCTTGGGGTTTTGTAGGCAAGGTAGGTATTGAGTAACACAGGAAGCATAAAGGCTGGCCGCAAGCTTTTCGATGATACTTTGTACATATTCCCCCACTGGCGAAGCATGAGCGGTGTTGGTGATTCCAAGAGGCGCGGAACTACGAAGAACGAGAGTCCGAGGTTGAAACCAGCAGCAGTGGTCAGTACTGCAATGCTGGTGGCTGCCACAGCTCGGACATGAGCAGGAACATCAGACATCTTTCCGTTCTGTAGATGGGGAGAGTCTCTTGTGAAGTGGTATTCGACCCCAGTTGCAAGCCAGAACCAGAGTTTCAGCAGGCTGGTCTCTGCGCTGATGATTAGGCGATTCCGTTTGATACTCACGACGCTGCAAGGTTCAAATAGGTCAAGTTGCCTCGGGAAATTTAGTGGGTGATTTTTAAGAGAGGGATCCCGTGTCCAACGGCTTTACAGCTCTGACGTAATGTTCGATTCCTCAAGGCAACCTACCATGCTGCCATTATTAGTATAAAAGCCAGCAGTGCCACCCATTCCCACAGGCAGCTGTCTATAGTCCCATCGCATGATCGTCACTGCATAATTTTGTCCCCCTATAAAACTTTCTAGTTTGCCGACCAATACAGCGCTCGTCTCATTACCATTGCCATCGCAAATCAGCTTAGGCTTAGCTAGAGCATATCATTTTGGGACCCAGAATAAATTTAAATAAGGAGCAGTTTTTTCACGTGACAAAGATTCACAAGTCCACGCCCGCTTAGCTCATCGGTAGAGCGCGTCACTAGTAATGACGAGGTGACTGGTTCGATTCCAGTAGTGGGCAGCACGAGCTGTCTTTGTATGTCTTCCTATAGCCCGCTTAGCTCATCGGTAGAGCGCGTCACTAGTATCCCAATGCCTATGACGAGGTGACTGGTTCGATTCCAGTAGTGGGCAAAGCTCAATTTTCTCTTTTTGTCTCTTTCTTCAACAGCTTTCGCATATGACCACGGACGTTCCTTTTTGCTTAGCAAGGCCCATCATCAATGGGTTCTGCTCCGCCATGTGCCATAAAGTAAAGCCAATAATTAATAATAAGGTGTGTCACAAGTAGGCGAGACGAAACAACAAAGACATGTACATATTAAGTGATGGTATAGCAACTGCATTGATTGATCTCTTTGGATGGAAATTCAGTACAACAGACACTTCCAGTTCTAGATCACGGACAGATTGAGCAAGGACATTGCAATTTGCATACTTGTAATGCCATCAGCTGAAGCGCTGTTTATGTACTATACTTACTGTATGTAGGCTGGCATCATCACGGGGGGTCCTTTCTGCATCGTGTGTGTTTTACGAGCTGGGTTTGGCGGAATTAAAGATTCCACCAGTCATTCTGTAGAAACTTGATCTTCGATCAATATATTTGTATACTTGACTTTGAATTGGAGGAAATCTTCCCAATGGAACAGAGCGATCTGCCAGATAATCGACTTTAACCCATATGACGCTGTGAGAGCTGCTTGTTAGACCCAGTTCTGCAGGGTCCTTCTTATCGAGCACCAATCTAGCGAGATATCCTTTGAAATCGTCCTAGGGCTACTGCTTTGACGTGACATTTGCATCAATGCCTATGTGCTCTTCGATTGTAAAAAAAAATTTCGGGAAGGGTCACTGCTAATGGATTATTGATAATGAAAAGAGCTAAGTTTGAGGAGAAGTGCATCAGCGTAAAGCTCATTGCTTGGCATAGACGTGGCACGGGCAAGCTCCAGAGAACCACATTATCCACCTCTAACTACCCCTCCAATCCTCAGCTGTCGTCTGTAATTTCGCCTTAGACCGCTAAGGTAATGGCCACTCACTGAATTATCAGCTCCAATCTCGAGAATTAACGCGTAGTGTCAGTGGCTGAGTTCGACCCACTCGGCATATCTCAGGCGAAGCCCAGCCACTAATAGCCTCCTGCGTGCTCAGCCGCTGCTACATCAAGGGTCCAGGCCGGGCCCTGAAGGGGCAAGCTGGCACGCGACAAGAGAGCGATCCCCCCTAGCTCATCAGCGTTTCGAAGACGAGGCGTAGCTAGAGTTTAATTTTACCTCCTGCTTCGAAAGTTAAAGAGCTGGCCTAGACCATTTCTTCGAGGGGTGATGCAGTCAGAAAACGATCTACACAAGGTGTCACAGCAGCAGGACAATTCACCTTTGCTTTTCCAGTCTGAGTCCTCGTTGTCGCCTGCGAAGATGGCCGGCCGTGGACTGAGTGCTTCAATGTCACCCAGCGGCTCCAAGCGAGGTGCCTCTTGGGTTCTTGTTGCCTCGTATGTTTCCGATTGGCTTTGCCTGGTAGCTGCCGGAGTTGTCGGCTTGGTGCTGGGTAACATTACACCAAACAAGCGACCGTTCCGCCTTCAGGATCCAGATATTTCGTATGTACATTACCCAAGCCATCAGAGCTGGGAGTGCCGCATTGAGAGGACATCTAGCTCCCGTTTTGCAGCAAAGCTAATGCAGTCGGCAGCTTTCCCTATACTGAGAAGGAGACAGTGAGCTCAAGCACGCTCGTGCTGTGCAACGCGGTCGCACCAATTGTTATCATTCTCTTTGTCACCTTGGTCTTTGTCCCTGGTTCTACAGTTCCGAAAGGCACCCCCAAATCATTAATCTGGAAGCGGAAGCTATGGGAGCTTCATGCAGGCTGGCTGGGGCTAGCGTTGTCCCTGATCTCGGCCTGGTTCATCACGAATGGCATGAAAAACCTGTTTGGCAAGCCGCGGCCCGATCTCTTAAGTAGATGCCAGGCGGATCTTACCAACATAACAAGTTACATCGTAGGTGGCTACATAAATCTGCCAGACAGCGTCGGGCAGCTCGTCTCAGCCGACATATGCAAAAACCCCGACACGAGCCTGCTCAACGATGGCTTCCGCAGCTATCCCTCAGGACACTCGTCATCAGCGGCTGCTGGCTTGATTTACCTCTCGCTGTTCCTTGCCAGCAAATTTTCTGTGACTATTCCGTTCGTTGCTCCGGCAGGCTATAGCGGTGCTGCCGGTTCCGTCGCATTCCCTTCTCGAATTGATGGGGGCGGTGGCACCTCCACGGTCTACAAACCCGTCTCACACGGCTCAGATGAACTCGCCGCTCCCCACGATCCGAATGTAGCTCAACAGATCGCCGCACATAGTTCCACAGTGACTGCTGCCAGGAAACAAGCCGCGGCCCCCCCTATCTATCTTCTTATCCTCACCGTTCTACCCTTCTTTGCCGCTATTTTCATTGCTAGCTCAAGATGGTTCGATTTCAGACACCATGGGTTTGATATTCTTTTCGGCTTCATGATGGGCACCATTACCGCATTCTTTGCATTCCGCTACTACCACATGCCCATCTCCCAAGGCGCCGGTTGGGCCTGGGCTCCTCGCAGTCCCGATAAGGCCTTTTGGGCAGGCATTGGGGTTTATAGCTACGCCACAGACAAGAAGAACTGGGTACGCCCAGGTGATGAGGAGGAAGGGCTCATAAGGCACAATGGGGAAGGCATTGAGATGCAGGGTGTGAGGTACAGGCCTAGATCTACCGGACAATTCGAAAATGTCGAAAGTCCCACAACCACTTCTCACACCGACGACAACACAGCAAGAGACGGCCACACTAAAAACACTGAAGTATCTACCCAGGGAGATGGCGATAGGATTTAGAGCTGGGTCGTTTTGTGTCTACACAGGAATCTGTCGTCTCCGGATAGGGAAAATAAGAAGGGTTTGGTCGAATTAAACGGTTGACTTGTAGCGAGTTGCCATGCAGATGTCAGGATGGGTCAAACACCAATTGCTTCCATTAAACGTATAGACACATCTCTTTTTTCTTGTTCATCATTATACTGCATTCGTACTTTTACCACCCCCTAACCTCGCGCCATTGGCGTCGAACTATATGAATTTATCGCAGGGTTTACTTCCTGTACTCCCTGTTCTCATGTCGCAGGGGCACTGCCTGTTGTCCACTCAATGTCACAAATTGAAGAGAATCTGGTCAGCGTCCTTTAACGAGAACTCTCAAATGTCTGAAACGAGAACAATGTGTGAGTGAGTTTTCCCCACCAGCGCCTGAGGATTTAGGCGGAATTGAGAAAGACGCCATTCATGGTGAAAGCAGCGGTAAAGGGAGACTGGCTACGTATTCCAAGTGGAGAACCCAATCTGATGGTCAATGACTCCCACCGATCACTTCTTAACTGACGTCAAAGTCAAGATGAAACTGTGACCTCATAATACTCCTTCTGCTCGTATCAATAGCGAACCGGGCTGAAAACCCTCTGGTGGAGGTGCAATTTACTTGGCCCCAGCACTAATTATCCGCAGCGTTCCAAGCTCGCAGTATGCCAATGCGTATCTATTCGGTGCCCACGCCACAAGAGGGCAAGCCGATGCAGTCTTGTAAGTGAACAAGTGCTCTCCAGTTTCAACATAGGAGAATTCCATTGATGAGCCTGTGGAATGACATTAGCAATCAACTTATGTGTCAGCACTCGTGAATTTGTAGCCTCACCTTCTTCACTACCGCCAACGATGTAGTTACCGTCAAATGAGAAGCCTAAGTTCGCAATAAGCATCATGGTTTTTCGAATAAGGGTAGAGAGGTTCCTACTAATAGTTCGAACAGGACCGACCATCTTTGTTATCGTCCTCTGGCAATTCCATTCGGTGGTGTCCCAGAGTGATATCAGTGAATCTGATCCACCGGTAGCCAGATACCGGTTCATTGGGTGTAGCTCTGCAGTGATACAAGACGAGGTATGCCCATGGAGTGTAAACTCAGCATCCTTCCCATCTTTGTAGTCATACGTATATGCTGGCTCTAAGCTTGGGTATGATAGGATTCTGGTTCGGCCTTCGCCTGTTGTCACGTATATCCTCTGCCCACTCCAACAAAATGCAATGTTGTTAGTTGGAACATCCTGCTGGTGCGATGAAATCGGCGTGCTTTCTGTGGGCGATAATATGAATAGCTTATCCTCCTAGAGATGGGTTAGCATCACCACAATAAAAATAATCTTGTTAGAATTTTCCGTGGTACCTTATTCCCCACTATCAGACTCTGTCCATCTGGAGCCCAGGCGAGAGTGAATGCCTCACCGAGACCTTTTACTTCGTTGATGAGATTTCTGGTTCTCATATCCCAGAACTTTGCTGTTCCATCGCTGCTAACACTGCAGAGCTCCAGTTCCTTGACGGGACTAAAGGCGACTTTCTCAACCGAAGCAGTGTGCCCCTTCAGCTCTGTAGATTGACGTACGTTGGGCTTATCCACGTTCCCTGATCACAAAACTAAGTTAGCGACTCGGCTAGGGCCAAAAGCAGTCCGGAGCTTAGGCTCGCAAACTACGATAGGACTCGAGATCCGCTGTGGTTCGCGGCATAGCCAGCATAGTGGCCGAATGAGACGTACAGACGCGTAGTGTCTTGTCAGCACATCCTGTGGCCACCCAAGTGCCCAGAGGATTCCATGCGATGGTTCGGAGACTATGGAAGTACGTTAGCTGAGAAGAATCAAAGAATGTCTAGTTTATAACCAACTTGTTCGGTATTCTGCTTGTATTGGGGTCGTTATAAACGGTCGGCTTCAATGTAGGAAACACCGCTTTGAATTTCTCAGGCGGAACCTGGACTTTAGAGGGCATCCGCGACATCGTGTATCGCTTAATATGGTACAGCGTGCGCCAATGCTATTGCTTCAGCTACCCTCACAACTTCTGCTGGACAATTGGCGCTGGTAACGGCTGTGCAGGTGGTGGAATAGTGAGCATGAGCGCAACCGGGTGAAAATCAAGGTACGTACTGAGGGAGCTTGGAGCACGGTCTGATCCAGGTAGTTTTAGTGCTTAAAAGCAGTTGACCCCAGCAATGATGTACCTAATCAGGTACCTGCGCAAGCATCCGCTTTTGACGATGC